TCGGTTTTCAAAAAACCTCTATTTATAACTTAAGTTCTGTTTCAGTTAGAAGAAATTGTACACGTGTATAGAATGACTAATTGCATGTATTCTCACACATTTCGAATAATTTCAGAGGACCGGAATCAGTACTTTGTGTATGCTTTCTCAAATTTTTAAACTGATTCCTCTGTCTCTATTTACAAGGTACTAATGTTCCGCACTATTATACAGATATTATTTGCTGTTCATTTGTCGAGCAATTTTTTTTTCTACTAGATTGTATTCTTTTTAAAAAAGATAGGGAGTTGCTATCCCCATTAGAGCGTTATAGTGAATGTTACCAGTACCTTGACCATTTTCTTCTCATCGACCACCAAAATCGGAAGAAAACCGTTTAGAGCCAAGAGTCTGCCGCTAGACAACAATTGCTTGCAATTACTCACTGACCTAGTATGTGTCCTCAAGTTTGAAAACTCCCGTCAATTTATATTTTAAATATATGGTAAATACAACAAAACAGTGACTTCATATTCGTAAATAGATACATTGTTACCATATTGAACATAAATACGATTTTTCTTAATTTTGGTACGCCAAAAAAAAAATAATTAAAAAGCACAGCAAAATTTAGAACAAAATGGAAAGAAAAAATACGTCGCGCGATCAAAAATGTGTTTAATTTAGTAAAATAATGAAGAAACAGTATTCTAAATTGTGCATTGTTGGATTTAAGAAACAATTAATGTAATTACTGACAAACAACCTACAACGAGCACTTTCGCGCCGACTATTGTTTTAAAGAATACGATACACTACCGACGACGAGGACTTCGTTTTTACTTGAACTGTGTGTTGATTCTTTTCACCATCTCCATCACCCCCAGTCTCACATTTGGTGATGCTGCTTATCCCCATCCTCACAATATCCTATTTTGTTATGTTTGTATATATATATATATATATATATATATATATATATATATATATATATATATATATATATATATATATATATATATATATATATATATTTATATATATATATATATATATATATATATATATATATATATACATGATCTCAGGACAAATGATCTCAGATAAAATATCTCAGACTAAACATCTCACGGACAAATGATCTCTGGGCAAATGATCTCAGGACAAATGATCTCAAGGACAAATGATCTTACGAACAAAAGGTACCAGAACAAAATATATCAGGACAAATGATACCATGGACAAATGATCTCAGACAAAATTTCTCAGATAAAATATCTCAAAGCAAAATTTTAAAAGTATGTACGATGATTTTAGGTGATAGCCGTTAATAATTCGGCCAGCTCTACGATTGGAAAAAAAAACGGGGTGAACCTTAGCTCACCAGAATGGTTGAGGGTGGGGGTGGTAGCAATTAGCCAAAAGAGTGGGGAGTAACGGCGTGCGTTTACGTGGTGTCTCGCATGGTTTCCATGAAGAGAATTATATAAATATAGACAGTTTTAACAGACACATTTCGTAACTCCCAATACCCTGCAACATTGAGTTAAAATTCATTATTTAGCAGCTTTTGGTTTTCTTTTCAAATCATTTTTTGTTCAGTATTTTTGCAGTAATAATTTCAACAGTTGGATTTGCCACAGAGTTTTTCACTACTGGTAAAAAGGCTTGGCTATTAATTTAAATGAAGATTTGCAACATTCTTCAAGTAAACCGTGGTCTTAAAGGCGGTTGGGGAGTTGGGGTTGTTTTGAGAAGTGTCTACTTAATCAATAATTGATTTTAAAAATCAATACACGCCTTTAGCACTCCGGTTGGTTATTAGCGACTCCTCCAAATTCAAGTGCGATACATGAGACTTGGCGCATAATGAATAATTTATTTGTCATGTTTGAGAGTTTGATTTAATGTGTCTATGTTCAATAACTTAACCATGGGGTCATGCTAAGGCTTGTATGTTAAAACTGGTTATATCCAGTCAATGACGTGGTTAAACAAATGCAGCTAAAGCATTGACGCAACGAATGCGAGGTATTGATTGGATTAAAATAGAACATTTTGTACTTGTTAATCAGAGCAGAACAACACACATTGTAACTAGGGCAGGCACGAACAGGTGCTGTTACTGTAAAAAGTATATGCTTAAATAAAATAGTGTTTAATGACGGAATTTACTAAACCGACTCCTTCTGTAACACACGTATACCAATTAATGTATATAGTATTAGCTTTAATAGACGAATAAGACCACTAAATTCACATTATTATTTCGTAAAGACCTTTTTATATCATTTGTTTAATACATTTATTTTAAACAAAGATCTATATATTGTCCATCTCTGGAGGTGGCCATGTCTAGAAATTTACATATCTAGAGGTGGTCATGTCTAGAAGTGTTCATATCTAGAGGTGGCCATGTCTAGAAGTTTTCATATCTAGAGGTGGCCATGTCTAAAAGTGTTCATATCTAGAGGTGGCCATGTCTAAAAGTGTTCATATCTAGAGATGGCCATGTCTAGAGGTGGCCATGTCTAGAAGTTTTCATATCTATGTGACCTACTTAGGTCCAGTAATGTTTTATTTTGACATTGTATAATACCTTATATGGATTGATGGTGCAACTACCGGGGTTTTTCCACTGTCTTATTAAGGGTGTCTAGGACCCAGAAATTTTCCATCAAGATCTGATTGATTGATTCTGATCAGATGACCATCCCAACCAATGGCTACATGAGTTGAGGATGACCTCCCCTGTTGCATAAGTCTTTAACTGGATCGCACACTCGCAACACGAGGCAGTCTACCTTGATCAAACGGTCTATTAAGACCAGGCCGTCCATTTTGTCCGGCAATAGATTCTGACCATTTGAACGTGAGAGAACTTAAGTCCTGTGTGTGCTATGCTTTCTTAAGTTGTTTTAGTCTTCTAGTATAATATTACTTGTCGCCAAGTGATTCTTGAAGCTATAGCAGTGTTGTGTGACCTGTGGCTATTTTTATACAGTGTTAAAATCTGTGATAGTATTTTTTCTTACGCTTTGTAAGTTGGGTTTTGTTATTTTCTAAATTAAATATTTTATCTCGTTTAACCTAGTGTTCTGCCTCAACTGTGTTCGCTTATTAAAGGTTGTATGCAGATTGGATGAGTTGTTAACTTCAATAGTATCACTAGTTTTCCCTAGACATCGAGATCGAGCCCTAGTGTGTTGTTGAGTTAGTGTTCATTCATTTAGGCTGTAAGTCATTTGCATATAACCCCGAAAAAAGAATCCGGGGACGTTCACCATCTATCTGGCTGGTAGATAGGTAAACGTTACATCTAGAGGTGGCCATGTCTAGAAGTGTTCATATCTAGATGTGGCCATGTCTAGAAGTTTTCATATATATATGTGGCCATGTCTAGAAGTTTTCATATCTAGAGGTGGCCATGTCTAAAAGTGTTCATATCTAGAGGTGGCCATGTCTATAGGTGGCCATGTCTAAAAGTGTTCATATCTAGAGGTGGCCATGTCTAGAGGTGGCCATGTCTAAAAGTGTTCATATCTAGAGGTGGCCATGTCTAGAAGTGTTCATATCTAGAGGCGGCCATGTCTAGAGGTGGCCATGTCTAAAAGTGTTCATATCTAGAGGTGGTCATGTCTAAAAGTGTTCATATCTAGAGGTGGCCATGTCTAGAGGTGGCCATGTCTAGAAGTGTTCATATCTAGACGTGGCCATGTCTAGAAGTGTTCATATCTAGAGGTGGCCATGTCTAGAAGTGTTCATATCTAGATGTGGCCATGTCTAGAAATGTTCATATCTAGAGGTGGCCATGTCTAGAAGTTTTCATATCTAGAGGTGGCCATGTCTAAAAGTGTTCATATCTAGAGGTGGCCATGTCTAGAGGTGGCCAAGTCTAAAAGTGTTCATATCTAGAGGTGGTCATGTCTAGAAGTGTTCATATCTAGACGTTGCCATGTCTAGAAGTGTTCATATCTAGAGGTGGCCATGTCTAGAAGTGTTCATATCTAGAGGTGGCCATTTCTAGAAGTTTTCATATCTAGATGTGGCCATGTCTAAAAGTGTTCATATCTAGAGGTGGCCATGTCTAGAGGTGGCCATGTCTAAAAGTGTTCATATCTAGAGGTGGCCATGTCTAGAGTTGGCCATGTCTAAAAGTGTTCATATCTAGAGGTGGCCATGTCTAGAAGTGTTCATATCTAGAGGTGGCCATGTCTAGAAGCGTTCATATCTAGAGGTGGCCATGTCTAGAAGTGTTCGTATCTAGAGGTGGCCATGTCTAGAAGCGTTCATATCTAGAGGTGGCCATGTCTAGAAGTATTCGTATCTAGAGGTGGCCATGTTTAGAAGAGGCCATGTGTAGAAGTGTTCATATCTAGAGGTGGCCATATCTAGAAGTGGCCATGTCTAGAAGTGTCTTTATTTTAATGAAGCCACTATGTGATTAGCGCCCAGGGTATGGAGCTGTGCCAAAATTTACTTTAAGACCGAACTGTTTGCTGAATTATTTGACGGTATCGATTTTTACATTGAATAGTTATTGATTTGATTTCAGATTGGAAGTTAATCAACGTGTTACTGTGTACGAACAGCAATGAATTGTGTGATGTGTTGTATCCGCCTTGAATTCCACATCGTACACAAGTAACAATATAACATTGTTATTGCTAACTTTGAAAAAGAAAATGGTTATGTTAAAAATAGGCTGTAAAAAATACTGGTAATGCAAAGTAATTTTTATTTAGCATAAACTTCTAGACGTACATGAAAAACTTTAAAATATGCAACCATCACACACCGATCTGCCACATTCGTCTACCATATGGTCCATATTTTACTGATACCCTTTATAGACAAGAAAAGGTTGGTAAATTCCAAGCGCCTCACATAATCATAAAGTGTTTATTCATAAACCTCAGTTCGTGGCCGCCAAGTTAAATACACAGAAAGAAACACAACTTGGCAAGCTTGTCCCATGAATAAAATCAGCGATCTGTGCCAAGTCTAACATTTATACATATATTCCCCTTTCAAGTGGCCATGTCACATTTTAATTCCATGTACCACTGGTGTGTAAGAGGTTTTGGATTACATGTGGACTCGCGGAACTTAATCTGGTAATGAACTTAAGATTTTTATGTTAATTTTTTTAATGTGCAGACAGATTTTCAACAACGAAAATATCAACATATTATTTTTACACCGTCTTTTTGTTTGTTTGTGGGCTTGTGGCAAATTTTGTAACTCAACTTTAACCCACTTCCAATGCAGCCATTTTGTTCAAGTTTCCCACATACGTCTTTGATGACAATAAAAGTCTTTTTTTTTTTTAAAT